TTTTGTTCAGTTAGACAAAGGAATTGCTATGGATACTGTTCTTTTGAGTTCAATGGCCGGTTATACCTTTACTGATAAAAAATAGCAAGTTACATTTTTTAATCATATTGCTGCAATTTATTCAATGCAGAATAGATTGTTTACTGGGATGGATATGAACTGCAATAAGTCTCAATATGAATTTATGTTCAGCTAGACAAAGGAATTCTTTGGAGTTCAATGACCAGTTATATCTTTGCTGATAAAAGACAGCAAGTTATGTTTTTTTTATCATATTGCTGCAATTTATTTAATGCCGAATAGATTGTCCCCCCCAGCCAACGCACACACACACACACACGTTCCCTTGTGTGTGGAGAAACAACAAATGAATCACTTCTTAGGTTGTGTGTTGTTGCAGTGACATTTAAAAAAATGAAGCTTATGTATTAAATTTGGTCCTTTTTTACTTTTTTTTTCCATCTTCTTCTGGCCTAATTTTGAGTACAGTTGAGGCAAAAAGCTGCTCTGTCTTTGAAATCATGTGGCTAGACCATCCAGACTTCTTGGAATGGGTGAAAAGGAAAAGGGAAGCAATGCAGATAGGTGGTTCAGCTGGGTTTAATTTCTCATTTATAAAGGCAGGTTGGAGTACTATTGAGAAGACCTCAAATGATTAAAGAGTTTCAAAAGGAAAAAAAATTGGAGAAAATGGAAAATGCTACATTTCTATCATTAATGCCAAAGAAGGACGGGCGATGGACTTAAAAGAGATCAGATCAATTAGCCTTATTATCAGTCCTTACAAGTTATTGGCAGTGGTATTATCAAAGAGGCTTAAAAAGTGATTCATGAAGTGGTGGGGGAGACTCAAATGGCCTTTGTGGAAGGAAGACGGATATTAGATGGAGTTTTGGTGGCTACTGAATGCATTGATTCAAGAATTAGAAGTGGGAGAGCCGGCTTGGTATGCAAAATCGATATTGAAAAAGCGTATGATCATGTGGAATTGGGCTTCTTAGAGGATATTCAAAGATTAATGGGGTTTGTATGCATGTCAACCGTCTCTTAGAGGATATTGAAAAAGCGTATGATCAGGTGGAGAAGCTGGATATTTGCATGCATGTCAACCGTCTCTTACTCTTGAATGGTGTGTCTTCTGAATTTTTCTAACCTTCGAGAGGTTTAAGACAAGGGGATCCAATATCCCCACTCCTTTTTGTCTAATCATGGAGGTGCTGAACCTGTTGCTGGAAAAAAACTGTACAACGGGGGTTAATTGAAGATTTTAGAGTAGGGGAGGAGGGGCCTGTTATTTCTAATCATGGAGGTACTGAACCTGTTATTTCTCATTTAAGCTAAGAGTGTTCTGATTGGGGTTGGAGAGATAAGGAGAGAAGAGTTGGAGGAGTATGCTGAAGCTTTTAAGTGCATAACCAGAGAACTACCGTTTACATATTTGGGTTTACCGGTTGGGGGCAATTCTGCTTCCATTACAATCTGGAAGTCAGCCATTGAAAGAATAGAGAGGAGACTGGATGGATGGAAAGCAAGATACTTTTTGTTGGGGCGAAGGATTACCCTTAATTAAAAGTCTGATATCAAGTCTGCCTACCTACCATTTATCATTGCTGAGGGTGCCACCATAGATTGAAGAGAGGATGGAGAAGATCCAAAGGGACTTCTTATGGGAGGGGGTTGGGAGAGGGAAGGGTAAAAGGCTCCATCTGGTCAAATGGGATAAGGTGTTTAGACCCAAGGAGGGAGGGGGTTCGGGGTTTAGAAGGGTTAGATTATTCAGTAAAGCCTTGCTTGGGAAATAGTTATGGAGATTTGGGTTGAGTAAGGGGGAAAGCTCCTTATGGAGGAGGGTGGTGGTTAGTATATATGGTGTTACATGATTTGAGTGGGAATCAAGGGGAGTTAGTTCATCATATGGGGCGAGTGTATGGAAAGGAATAATGAGTTTTAATCAGGAGTTTGGATCTCTAACATGCTTTGCAATTGGGGATGGAGCTAGAATAAGATTTTGGGAGGATGGTTAGAGTAGAGTGGGAAGATTGTGTGAGGTTTTCCCAAGTTTATTCAGGCTGTTGGAACTGGGAGTGACTATTTCCAGTTATGAAAGAATTGGGGAGCAGATAGTTTGGTGCCTGAGATTCAGAAGGCCGCTCCTCAAAAGGGAGATTGAGGAGTGTTTAAGTCTGCTGCTGGAGAAGTTGGAGAAGGTGAAGATCTCAACCCAATCTAGGGATGAGATATGGTGGAAAGAATACTCAAATGGAAGTTTACAGTCAAGTCTTGTTATTCAGCCTTGTGCAGGAACCAAATGGACTTTGATTCATTGGGAGGGTCTGGGGTAACCCAATACCCCTAGGTGGGAAGCTTTTGCTTGGCTGGTGGCTATGGACAGCGTGTTGACAGTGGATCATTTGAAGGCAAGAGGGTTCAGTTTAGCCAGCATTTGTTTTATGTGCAATGAAGAAGAGGAACCAGTCAGCCATCTCTTCTTTGAATGCAAAATTTCTGGTTTCTTATGGAATCTCTTCGCGATACTCTTTGGGGTTGGGACTTTCCAGCCAAGGACACCTGCTGATCTTTTCTACTTGGCGAAGAATTAGGGGAGAAAAAAAGGCTAAAATAATTTGGAGCTGTATTCCATTTTCCATTTGCTGGAACTTTTGGAAAGAAAGGAATAGAAGAATCTTTGAAGATAAGGAGTGGAAGCTAGACAGATTGGTGGGGGCTGCAGATTGGGTGTTGATATTGCCAGAGTTGTCTTAGTTTAAGAGAGAAGATTTAGGAGAAAGTTTGTGGGAGGTCGACCGGTTTACAGAATTATGAAGGAATATGTACTATTTTTTTTTATTTATTTATTTTTTGTTGATCCTTTGGATGTTAGGTGCTATCTTATCACCTATCCAGATTGTACTCTTTTTATTTTATTTTAATGAAAGCTTTCTTTTACTTATAAAAGAAAGCTGCCCTGTTGAAGAAGTTACCAGAAGGATGCTTGGGGCTGTGTACTCATGGCTGGTTGTATCAGAGTTACTTAAGAATACTTCCCATCAAAATTTAGTCTATTACTTTTGTTTATGTGATGCAGCACAGACTAGACTTCAGCCTGCTTACATTTTTCTACCTTGATTGCAATTAATATGTAGATAGATGATTTTTCTAACTTTTCTGAACTTAATGATAAATCTATTAAGAAGAATCTATTGCTTTCTTGTTTCTCTAAAAAAAATTGCAACTGACTTTAGGACTTGGTATCTCTTTGTCAGAGAGCAGTTATTCTTTAGGCTTTGACAATTTCTCAAGCATACAATGATCCATTGTGGGAGATTTTCTTGTTTTTCTTGCTTTCTTGTTTCAGTTCCTGTTCAGTATTGGTAATGGGGTGTAATAATAGACTAAAAGGAATTACCTCACCCTTTTGGTCCTGCCAAATTCTTAACCATCTTATGGTGGTTTTGATCTTCGGCATTCAGCATTTAACACCCTCATTGGTTTTGGGGAATATGGGTCTGATAAGCTTTCTATTGTGAATGAAGGGTGTATTTTCTCACACATTCAACACTTCAGCAGAAATTTGCTGCTGTAGCCACCACCTGGCAACACCTTAATTTACTATCCCCAAATTGATATGCTTAAGCAACATATAGGTAGAGAAGTATAACCCTCTTATCAAAACTGTCTTGTAATATTTTCTGTTGAACGCTTGAACCTCTCACTAGTTCTAAACCAAATAGTTGAAGCTAATCTGCGATTTCCATTAATTTCTTCTAGGGACAGATTACTGGAAAAAATGAATATAGTACCCGCTAAGTATCTTCTTTCTTTTTGTTCTCTTACCATTCAAAAGATTCTTTCATTCTGAAGATTTCTTCTGTTTTTTTTCCCTGTTTTGTTTTATCTTTTCCTTTTCGCAGGAATATATGTGCCTTCATCCAATAGATTCTTTATCTTTTCATTTGCAAAGAAAGTATGTTA